TTTTGTCCCATTAGGCAGTCTAATAGATATGAGTTAGTATATCAGAATTGTTTTAATTGGGGGCCAGCTAGGTGGTGCAGTGGATAGAGTACTGGCCTTGAAGTCAGGAGGACCTGAGTTCAAATCTGACCTCAGACCAGACATTTGACACTTACTAGCGGTGTGACCCTGGGTACAATTTCCAAAAAAAAAGGGGGGGATTGTTTTAATTTGCATTTCTCCAATCAATAGTGAGTTAGAGTATTTTTTCATATGGCTATAGATAGCTTTGATCACTTCATTGGAAAACTGATAATATCTTTTGATCATTTATCAATTGAGAAATGGCTCTTATTTTTATAAATTTGACTCAGTTCTCTATATGTTTGAGAAAAGAGGCCTTTATCAGAAAAACTTGATTCAATTTTTTTTTTCCAGTTGCTATTGTAACCATGCTCTTCTTCCAGCCTGGAACAATAGACCTTTCTAGTCAACCATCTAGGGTGTCTTGGGCTGGAAATTTGTTTCACTCTGTCTTTTTGTGGGTTCTGCTGCTGTAGAATTTGTTTAGAACCATTTTTCACCGGTATTTGGAGGAGTTTGGGGGAGAGCTCAAGCAAATCACCACTTTTACTCCACCATCTTGGCTCTGACCCCTGTTAGTTATTTTTCCAATGAGACAATCCACATTGTCTTCTATTTTTTTCATCTTTTGGTTTTGTTTTGTTTCTTGATTTCTCATAAAGTCATTAGCTTTCATTTGCTCCATTCTAATTTTTTAAGAACTATTTTCTTCAGTGAGCTTTTATATCTCCTTTTCCATTTGGACAATTCTGCTTTTTGAGGCATTCTTCTCCTCATTGGCTTTTTGGACCTCTTTTACCATTTGGGCTAGTCTATTTTTTAGGGTATTATTTTCTTCAGTACCTTTTTGTGTCTCTTTTACCAAGATGTTGATTTGCTTTTCATTATTTTCTTGCATCATTCTTATTTCTCTTCCCAATTTTTTTTCTCTACCTCTCTAACTTGAATTTCAAAATCCTCTTTGAGCTCTTCCATGACCTGAGAGTAATTCACATTTTTCTTGGAGGCTTTGGATGTAGGAGCTTCAGCTTTGTTGTCTTCTTCTTGATGTGTGCTTTGATCTTTTTTGTCATCATAATAACTTTCTATAGTCAGAGTTTTTCCCCATTGTTTGCTCATTTTCCCAGCCTATTACTTGTCTTTTAAATCTTTGTTAATGTAGGGCTCTGCTTCCAGGATAGGGGTGCACTGTCTCAAGCTTTAGTGGTTTTGTGCAGCTGTTTTCAGAAATAATTCTAGGGACCTGTAAGATTTCAGTTCTTCCAAGGTGGCATGATCTAAGGAGAGGTGTATACTATTCTACTGCCCTGTGCTCCGCTCTGTGAGTGACCACAAACACTCTTTTCTGCCCTCCACTATGACCGCAAGCTCTGGTGTGTTAGTGCTCCTTCTTACACTGGGACTACCACCCTGGGCTGTGATCTGTATCTGAGTATGGGCAAAGCAACAGAGTCCTGCCTCAGTGCTAGCAAAGAGAACCCTATGCTCTCCTTCTGACCAGTTGTTCAACCCCTTTACCCTCTGTGGGCTGAGAGCTCTGGAAACAGTTGCTGCCACTGCCACTGCTGACCTGGTCATGCCCAAGGCCTGCTCCTGGTTTCCTGGGGCTTGGTCTGTGCTGGCTGGACTGCACTTCACTCTCATCCAGGTGTGGCAGACCTTTCCTGCTGAACTTCCCAGTTGTCTGTGGCCTCTGTGGGCTGAGAGGTCTGGAAACTGCCAGTGATTCAGTTGCCCTGAGAACTGCTCCAGGTTTGCTGGAGCCAGGTCTGTGCTGGCATGTCCTGCACTCGACTCTGGCCCTCTCTCTCCTTGGCGCAACAGACCTTTCCTGCCAACCTTCCAAATTGTCTTGGACTTGAAATTTGTTTCACTCTGTCTTTTTGTGTGTTCTGCTACTCTAGAATTTGTTTAGAGTCATTTTTAAAAGGTATTTGGAGGGTTTGAGGGGGAACTCAGGCCAGTCTCTGCCTTTACTCCACCATCTTGGCTCCACCTCTCCCTCCTAGGGTTATTGTGAGGACAAAAATGAGATAATATTACTAAAAAACTTTAAAGTGCTATATAAATGATAGCTGTTAATAATAATAATAACTGATATTTACATGGCATTTTAATACTTTCAAAGTGTTTTATAGGCATTATTTCATTAAATATTTTATTTTTCAGATACTTGTAGATAAAAGTAGGAGTTTATCTATGAATTCACCTCCAGTGCTTTGCTAATGAAATGAGGATGACTTCCCTGTATGTTAAGCTTAGTTAATGAGCCAACAAGTCCTCCCCACCGCATAAAACACTTATTAACCACCCATTTAAGTTTTGAAAACCACTAAACATGTCATCTCACTTGATCCTAGCAACAACCTTGACATGTAGGTACTATTATTATTATTCCTGTTTCACAAGTGAGGAAACAGACACAGGAGTTAAGTGAATTTACCTATTCTCTAGTTGGTAACTAGAAAGTGTCTGAGGTTGGCTTCAATGGCTTTATCCATCGTATTGTTATAGATATCTTACGGTGACAAGTTTGACTAAAGTCTAAACATCCTTTTTTCCTTTTCAACTATCATCCATGTGGACATAGTCTAAGTACATAGATCCAGTGTCTAATGTTTTTCACTGTCAAGGGAGACATTCCCTTAAACAAATGTCTTCTCTCTTCTGCTGTAATTGAAGCCCAGGAGTTGTTATACAGGTACACATTTTCAAATAGATTAATTCTAAATCTTCTTCCTTTCAGTTATCTAAGATGTTGTGTAACTGTCATAGGTAATTTTTGTAGAGACTTGAGCAGTAGCCTGACATTTTATTTGTTTCTATATTTATATAAAATGTCAAGCCAATGCATACACACACACACACACACACACACACACATATACACATATACATATATAGGCAAACACACACATATATAGCAAATATATATATATATATATATATATATATATATATATATATAATGTCTCTCTCTCTCTATATATATATATATTCAAAAATTTAGTAATAGCAACAATTTCCCACGTTTTACTTCTATTCTACTTGCTACCTTCCTGCTAAAACAACAACAACAACAACAACAAACACCGTACCTTCGTCTGCCCTGCATTTCCTATTGCAATCTGGAAACATACAATGAGGTGCACTACTTCAGAAAGTTTAGATTTTTAGAAAGAGCTTTTTGAGTTTTCATTTTAATTAATTCATTCATTTAAGTCCATTGCACTTCATTTCCCATAACATAAAAGTGATTGTATAAATGGATACTGTTTAAGTTAAGAGATGAGGAATTTTAACACATTAGAAAAACTCTCACTCTAGATTTAATCCTGCCTCTGACACTATCTTAGACAAGTCACTTAAATTTCCTGGACCTCAATTTCCTCATTTGCAAAATGAGGCTTTTGGACTAATTGAATTCTGAGACCTCTTTCAGTTCTAGATCTCTGATGTGATGAATTTGAAAATAGTATCCTAGGGTGTCATACTTTTATAGCATACCAGTGATACCATGCATCTCAAGAAATCCTTTTCTTCATTAAGAACTTAACAGACAGTAGCCAACACATCTTAACATCATCCCCAAGGGTACTGTATACTATAGGATTGCATAGGAATTGAGAGGAATAAATCAAATTATCAAAGTTCTTGAGTTGTCAAGCCTCAAAGTATCAAATTGGTGTATTGCCTACTGCTCCAAGACTGTCAATCCTTGGATTACCATGTAGGAAACCTATTCCTGACTCTGATTAGAGTCAAGAAAGAAAAAAAAAAGTTCTAGACTTTGAAAATTCTTGCTCCTATGGAGGACGGATTTAAATAACACTGTATCATCTTTTTCTCTAATGAGCATAGCTCTGACTCAGGATAACAGAAACATCAGGAGGGATAAAAGCATTGTTGTTGTACAATAACCCACAATAATCACTCTACCTACCAATTCACTTTATAATATCATAAAAACTCATCATTATTCACCATAGTTGCTGTCAAGATCTGTATTCATCTATCTCTCTATCTATCTTTTCTTACAGCCCCTTCCACCTTAAAAGTTTTGGCTAAAAAACTCACATTTTTAGCTATGCTATTCAAAAATTTTGAATTTCCAAAAAATTCACAAACATTCAGTAGAGAGCTATGTGAAGTTGTGAAGCATAAAGCCCCATTAAACTATAATCTATAATCGTTAATCCCCACCACCATCACCATCATCATGCATCATCACTCTCTTCACCATTCACAGTATTTGTTTACTCCAACTTGTCTTACACAGTATTGCCAATCACTTTACCAAATGTACAGACTTTTAGGGGAGGGAAAATATTCAACCAGCCAAAACAAAATAAAATGACAACAAAATCTTTTAATCACTTCCCCTTGGCAACGGAATACTATTATTGAGCCACCACCCACTAAAATGGATTTTTTTTTAACAGAAACTCTTGTCCGGCCATATCTCTTTTATTGTATATTTATTTTGTTGTTGTTCAGTCATGTCCAACCAACTCTTTGGAGTCTGTTTTGGGATTTTCTTAGCAAAGATACCGGAATGGTTTGCCATTCCCTTCTCTAGCTCATTTTACAGAGGAGGAAAGTGAGGTGCCTTGCCCGGGGTCACATAGCTAAGTAAGAGTCTGAGGCTGGATTTGAACTCAGGTTTTACTGACTCCAAGTCTGGTGCTCTATCCATTGCGCCACCTAACTGTTCCACTTTGATTGTACCTCTCTTAGAATATAAAGGCAGAATAGTGCAGAGGTTAGCATAAGTATACAGGGTGAAGCTTCAATTCCTGGCAATGCTACTTACTATAAGTATATGGCTTTTTACAATCACCTTGTAGATGAACTCTAAGGTCCCTTCAAAATAAATCTATGATCATGTGGTCTTGTGATGCACTGGTGCTTTCACTCTCTCTCACTTTTTTTTTTAGGTCACTTTGCCTTCAAAGATTGATCTTCCAGAATTTTTTATCTCCTCCTACAAGTGGCCTGGATGGACTCATGACCCATTGGATCAAAAAAATTGTGCTGCATCCTGGGCATTTTCTACTGCAAGTAATATTGTTATTCTAATTCTTTCTCTCTCTTTTTATAATGCCCAAGATTACTTAGGGTATTTGAGCTATATGGTACTTTAGAGATTATCTGGTCCAATATCATTTTATAAATGGTGAAATGGAGACCTAGAGAAATAATACAGTTAATTAGTAGCTGACTTTGAACAGAAACTCAGGTCCCCTGACTCCTAATCTAGGATTCTACTACAGCCAATGTTTAAGAGAATATAATTGTAATTTCTATCATTTTTAAAATTAAATAATGGCTATATCTTTAAAATTCTACATCATGCTTAAGGTAAATTATCAGATTTATATGCTTAAAATTGATATTCCCGTTCTGAGTTCAATTTTAAAAGAAAAATAAATCAAATACATGAGCTTTTCCTGCCCTACCCCTCACTTTCTTTTTCTTTTTGGAGAGGCAAAAGATAATAAATACACTGCTGACTGATTGAGCAATTGATTAAACCTTTGGATTTAGAAGAATAACTCTACACACAGAATAATAGAGCACATGATATATTTTATCTTTATCTTTTTTTTTTTTTGCTTTTTGGTGAGTCAATTAGAGAGAGTTAAGTGACTTGCCCAGGGTCACACAGCTAGTAAGTGTCAAATGTCTGAGGCTGGATTTGAACTCAGGTTCTCCTGACTCCAAGGCTAGAGCTCTATCCACTGTGCCATCTAGCTACCCCTTTATCAAAATTTTAATGCTTATTTTTATACTTAGATGTTCACTCTACACTCAAACCAAAATAGCCTACTTCCTATACTCTATTCATGAAACTCCCACTTCTTTGTCTTTGAAGAAGTCCCCCAAATCTGGAATGATCTCCCTCCCTTTTACCTCTTAGAACACTCAACTCCTTTGAAGGCTTAGCTCAGGTGCCACTGCCTTTAGGTGGCCTTTTCTGAATTCTTAGATTTCTTGCCTTTCTTCCAAATCATTTGCCAAACTGCTGTGCATTTATTTTTTTTTCCTTTGGTATATCCTGCATATGTCTTATATTTATTTATCTGGGAACATGGTATATCATATCTCCCCACTAAAATATAATTTTTTGATGGTAGGGGCTATCTTACCTTTATCTTTGTATTTATTACTCAGTGCATGGCAGAGTAGAAAGGAAGGAAGGAAACATACATTTATTAAGTGCCTACTATGTTGCAGGCACTGTGCTAAGCACATTAAAAATATCTCCTTTGATCCTAACAACAACTTGGAAGGTATGTGCTATTATAATTCCTGTTTACAGTTGAAGAAACTGAGACATGGAGAGATTAAGTGATTTCCCAGGGTCATATAGTTAGTAAGTATCTGAGGCCAAATTTGAACTCAGGCCTTCCTCTTCTGAAATGCTGGAAGTGCTTGTTTATTGAATAAATGATTATTAAGTTATTTTGAAGTATGGAGAAATAGAAGTATGTAGCTGAATATGAACTTGTGAAAATATGCATTTTCTCTTTCATATTAAAAAAAACAACACATTTTGAAAATATTTCCAGTGTAACTAGATTAAGAAAAATTTTTAAAGAAATGTACTAGGGCTCATTCACTGGATGTTTTATTCTTTTAAGAAGTTTCCTTGAGAGGCTAGACATGTCAACAAGTCAGTAATCAAGCATTTATTAATTCCATAGAATATACCAGGCACTATGCTAAGCTCTGAGGATGCAGAAAAAAAGAAAAAAACGTCCTCACTACCAAGGAGTTTGCAGTCTAATGTATCACCCAAGGTGTTGCTGTTGTTCAAAGTATTTCTAGAACTCTTTCTTTGATGTCCTTTTTACAGTCAGTTGACAAGTTATGAATAAAATCATCTCATTTCTCTATAGTCATATCATAATTTTTTTCTTTCTTTTTACTAGAAATCATATTACTCAATTGGACCACCCACCTGATTTGCTGATTTTGTTTCTATATGCCTTTTAGTTATTTCCAAACACTAAAGTTATCTTCATAGTATGAGCTTTATTAGAATTGAAAAAACCAGACAATGGACCCACAAACTCTGAAGACAATCTTAGGATGACAAATTTAGAGCTGGAAAGGACCTTAGAGTGCAGGTCTAATCCCAAAGAGAGATTTGAGCATTGGCAACATTACTGTAATTAGTCACTCAGAAGCGACTGCTTTTAAAGTCATGTTACTTTTTAGTCACTCTTTGGATTTGCACAAAGGCCTTAGTCCTAAAAGAAATACTGTGCTCTTCAAACTTGTAAAAATAGCAATGTTTGTCTCTGATGCCATTCCATCATTATTTCTGACACTCACCTGTCCCCTTTCAGGGATACTCTTTGGGAAAGTCAAATTCCCATTTCTTATTTGACTATGGCTTCATAGAACGAATTGTTGTCTTATGTTCTGCACCATTTCCAACCTTCTTTATCTTCTCTCTCTTATCACATTTATTTGTCTGGTGTTCTATTCCCTTCTATACTTTTTGGCAATAGATGAATATCTTTACTTAATCAAAATGATTCCCATAAATATGTTAGGTGCCTAGTATAGTTTACCTTTACACTATATTGTATTATACTGCATTGCATTGTGGGTAGTTACTAGACATGTAATTTTATTGATATAGGGAACTCTTAAATGTGGAAATGCCCTCTTTCAAAGCAAACTGGCACTGTCTCTGCAACATAACAATTGTAGCTTTAGTACTGAGAGGATAAATGAGTTTAACAGAGTCACATAGCCAGTAAGATGTCAGAGGCAGGATTTGAACCTATATCTTTCCAGTTCTAAGATCAGTTATCTATCTACTATACACCACACTATTTTGCATTATATTATGTTGTATCATAATAATATATCATGTTTTATATATATATATTATATATATAGTTAGCATTTAAACATATCTAGCATTTATATACCACTTTGAGGTTTGCAAAGCACTCTACCTATTTTAATTTATTTGATTTTTACAGCAACTGTTTGAGATAAGTCCTATTATTATCTTCATTTTACAGATGAGGAAACTGAGACACAGAAGTATTAAGTGACTTAATCAGGGTTAGTGAGCTAGTAAGTGTCTTAGGTAGGATATCAGACTATAATAAGAATGTGATGTTTTTCATAAAGATTTAGATAATTAATTAATTTCAGCAACAGTCAAAATAAATCAGAAAAATGATTGAGAAAAATGGAGAAATGAAGGACAAAAGGGGAGTTTTCAGAAAATATAGCAAAAAAAAGTGGCCAGTTACAAAGAAAACCAAATTCAGTCTGAACAGTGAAGGTTTTCACAAGCATGAGGGAGCAGCATAGGGCAAACTTTTAGACAGCAACTAATAAACAGAGATAACAAGCAAATGCACCCCATGGGTAACGCTCAATAAAGCTTTTAAAATAGCGAGATGAAAGCAACTTCAAATGAATTGAGTCTTTCTTCTGTTCTCTGATCTTTTTCTAAATATTACATGTAAATTTGAGCTAATTACTCTCTGAGATTCAGAAATATCTGGGTTAAGTGATGGAGTATATTTTGTAGAAATATGGCTTTTTTTTAAACAAAAACAAAAACAATAGAAAACCATAGATTTCAATTGCATTTCACTGAAAAGTATTAAATTTTAGAACAAATAAAGGAGAATTTTAAATTATAAAAAAAATTCTTGTTGATTCTGAATCCTTGTACTGAACCATCTACTTTTAAGGCAATGAGGTACTATAAACGAGGTACTTTAAAATTGGATTTTAAATTGAATGGGGAGTTACTTGAATATAAGAATAATGGTGATACTTTGTATGCTGCTTTATACTTATGTGACCTCAGACAAATCACAGTGAAAAGAATTGAGGAGCTTATGAGGATAAGTACGTTTGGTATAAATTTAAAAAAAAAAGATTCTTCTGACATGAACATTTTGAGGAGACTGACTACAAAAGCAATTTTGGACAACAGAAATTTATAACCCCATTGAGAGAATGAGGGAGGAAAGCTACAAAATGCAAGGCTCAAAGTAAAGCAAGGACAGTTAGGGGAGAAGAAGTGATCTAGTAAAAAAAAAATACACTTATTTATATAGAATCTGTCACTCAGTTCAAACCCCACCTTTGCTGCTTATTAGTATCTTTGTGAACCTGGGAAAGTCACTGCCTCTCTAGGCTTCAGTTTCCTCAATTATAAAATGAAAGGGTTGACTAAATGATCTTGAGCATCCCTTCTGAGTCAATAGCTCTAAATCTTTGATACTAAATGAGAGTTAAATCCTTCTTACTACACATCAAGAGAATAATTTGAGAATAGTCGTTATTTTAACTTTCTATTTTTTGGGGGGGGCGAGTCATTTTATTTATGTCTTTTATTTTTTTTTAATATCACAGTCATTCCTGATATACTTTTAGGTTCGGAGATTTAGAGCTAGAATCCATCACTGAATAGATGAATAAACTGAGTTTCAGAGCAAGTGACTTACCTGGGTCACACGTGGAAGAGACAGGATTTGAACTCAGGTCTTCCTAGTTCCAATTCTAGCATTCTATGTAGAATGTCATACTACCTCCATCACTTCTCTCTCCTCTACCTCCCCATCTCCTGAATTTTCTCCTCTAACAAAAGAAAAAAACAGTTTAGGAGAACTAATCAACATACCAACAATGCTACTCATTGTATGTAACATTCTGTGCCTATAGACCCCACCTCTCTCCTTAGATGAAGATAGCCTGTATCATCATCAGTCCCCTAAGACCAAGATTTAATGTAAGATCAGATGCTGTTCAGTGTTATTTTAATTTACATCAATATAGTTTTGCACATTTCCCCCTGCTTCTGATGATTTCACTCTATTCAGTTTATACAAGTCTTTCACATTTCTCTGAATTCCTTCTATTAATGATTTCTTACAGAACAATAATTTTCTGTTACATTTCCATAACACAATTTATTCAGTCATTCCTCAATCAACTGAAGACTATTTTGTTTCCAGGTTTTTGCTATTGTAAAGTGCTGCTATGAAAATTTTGGGATATATGAGGACTTTATGTTTTTGATCCTTTTCCTGTCAAGTTTCAGTTGATGCTATATATAACAACCTGATTGGGGTATCTAATATTAATAGGTCTTTACTATCAGAAAAGCTCTGTAAAAATCATAAGCATTATACACAGCATTATTATTATATTATTATTAGGTTATATAATATATAGCATATAATGTTATATAATATATGTAAATAATATATAACTATCATTATACTTATCTATCTATCATCTATCTATCTATCTATCTATCTATCTATCTATCTATCTACCTATCAATCATCTATCTAGTATATGGCATTATTGGACACCAGGAAAAGAAGGTGAGATAATAGATTAATGCAATCTTTAAGACTTCTTATGTGAATTTTAGTGACTGGATGATCTCTATGTCTACAGATAGCAATAGAAGGCAATATAGGTTTCAAACACATCATAACAAATGAATGTATTAGTAAGAGATGATAAATACTATAAATGTTCATTGAAATATGCTGTGGAATATCTCTTCTTAACAGCCTTTAAACACCATCTGTGGTCAATACACTTACCTTGTATGGATTCTGGCCTACCTTGGATATAGTTATTTCTAGTTGAAGGGAATTGATGTAATATATTTAATTACATTGTAATAGGCTGGAAAGATAGTAGGCAAGGTATTATGTACAATAAATATGAATACAAGTGTTATATTTTAACATGCATTAATATTTTACTTCAACCAGGTGTGGCAGCTGATCGAATAGCAATTCAGTCCAATGGTCGCTACACAGCCAATCTATCCCCTCAGAATTTGATCTCTTGCTGTGTCAGGAATCGGCATGGATGCAAAGGAGGGAGCATTGACAAAGCTTGGTGGTACCTGAGAAAACGTGGGTAAATAGCAGCCCAAAATGTATTTGCAGGTTTCTTATGGAAACTATGTAGATTTAGAAGTAACAATCAAATACTGAAAAGTGTATTTGATTATTGGGTACAAATCTACAAAGAAAGGGACCTTATTTATTTAAACTTTATATCCACCTCAGTGCTAAGAACAATGGTCTGCTTGTCACAGATATTGAATCATAATAGCTTTTACATAGCTTTACTATTTGCAAAGTACATTGAGTATATTGTCACATCCGATCCTTACAGTAACTCTATGAGGTGGGTACTATAGGCATCTCTCCACTTTACTGATAAAAACAAAGAAACAAACAAACAAAAAAGCTGAAGAGGAGAAGTTGAATGACTTGTCCATTGTCATATCAACACTTGGAGCAACATTTAGACCCTTTTCTCTCCTGATTCCAAGGCTAGAATATTTGCAACTGCACCATATTGTCTCAGTGGCAGAAAGACAGTGTAGGGAAATGTTTATTGAACTGAACTGAATTGAATTAACATGATGAATGACTTATTACATGAAATTGTTTGTTGTCCTTTTATATCCATCAACATTTTGCTGTACTGTAATCACATCATTTGATGAATGCATACATTTCAAGTCATAGCAATTTTTTTTTAATACTTAAAGAAAGCTTTTTGAGTGGCTTGATGACTTATGAGGAATGTAAGTATTGTCTATGTTTAAAAAGAAAATGCCACAAAAATCCTGGCCAGCTTCATGTAGGTATTTGGAAAGTTATAGAGTAGTTAAGTAAATTCCATTTGGACATGCCTTAAAAATACTGGGTTTTTTGTGATAATCTATATGTGTTGATTGTTTAGGTATCATCATACTAATAAGCTGATGTAGATTCATAAAACAGAAAGCTTTCTATTAATTGCTCAAGAACATTTATTATGTACCTACTACATGCCAGGAACTCTGCTAAGACAAATATGAGAATTAAGTGAACTTAAATTTTGTCAGGGAAGATGAAATGTATATATATGAGTATCCATAGAAAATAGACAGAAGTTTAGTTTAGGGAGGGATGGTCACAGAATTTGTGGACATTAGGAAGGTCTTTCTTTAGAGAGTAGTAGTTAAGCTGAGTCTTTAAGGAAGAGAAGGATTCTATGAAGCTTAGGTGGTAAGGGAGGATAAGGGCAGTACAAAAGCACAGAGAGCAATGGGAGATGGAGTGCAATGTGTGAGGAACCCAGAGAAGGTCCTTTGATAGACAGAAAATGAGTAAAGGGTTTCTGAGAGAAGATATAAGAGATAAAGAGTGAAGATAACTTGGCTGGGGGATTGTCATTGGAATGCTAATATAAACTACACTCAAGTGCTACCTTGCATGTTTTTTCTTGTTTTCTCAGTTGTTTTGTTCTCCCTACCTCCCTGAAATTACTTTGCATTTCCTTTTTATATACTTAGTATGTGAGACTTCCCCTTTTATAAAGGAGCACTTTGGTTACTAGAATGCATAGAAAAAATAACTTCTGTGCACAAAAAAACCAGAGAAAATCCACATGTTCACAAATGCAGTTTTCCTGTTAAAATGTGGGCAGACACAAATTGTAAGGAGGACCAGATAGAAAATTGCCCCTCATATGAAAGGACTTGTTAAAGATCAGAGAAATAACTGAGGCTGCAAGGCATTGTGGACCCCTTTCATCATTTTCATTTCACTGTTTTTAAAATTTGAAAGGTTAAAATTGACAAAAGAGGTAAATGAAATAATTATGTGGAGATTGTGGGAAGATTAAATTAGGATTGCTGCGCTCATAATTGCCAGAAAGGGGAATTTCACCAGGAGGGTCTGATTTGTCACTGAGGCACTGAGAATAGTGGAAAAGGCAACTGGTGGAACTTGCTAAAGAAGCCAATGATAGAGTTAGCTAACATGAAGGCTTATACTGTTGGGAAGCTGCTTGTAGGTTGGAGAATGATTGGAAGCTCATTGTAACAGAACTGAACTCTTCTTCAGTGATAGCTACTGCCCTCAAATCACTACCTATACCTTGAGAGAAGTTTGTCTCTCCAATGCCACATTTGGTTTGAGAGGGAGAAAAAGGGGGAGGGGGAGAGGAAAAAGAGTCCTTACTGCTGCTTGGCTATAAGAAGAGACTTAGATCTGATTGAACAGCACAGAATTCTGCCAAATGAATATCTAGTTGGGCATCTAGTCCAATACAGTTATATACAAATGAGGAAAGTGAGACCCAGGGAATTTGTTGCTTACTCAAGGTTACACAGAGCATCAGACTATAACCAAGGGCCAGAAACATGAAGGGGTCTAAGAATCAATTAATCAAACAATTAAGTAGCATGTGTTTATTAATTGCTACTAAGTGCCAAACTGAGGGTAAAAAAAGAAAAAGAAAAAATAGTCCCTCTCCTCAAGAAGCTTCCATTTTAGTAATGGACACAACACACACATGCTGATATCATACTTATGCACACACAAACACACAAATTTGTGTGTATATATATGCACCCACTCTCTCTCTCACACACACATACAAACAAAACAAAACAAAAACAAAATGGAAAAAACATTCTGTAGAAAATAGCCTTTGAGCTGAATCAAAAGGAAGCCGAAAATTCTAAGAAGTCAAGATGTAGAGTGAGAGCAATTAAGGGATGGGGGAAATTATGTACAAAGGTAAAAAATCCACATTTTACTTGTGTCATTAAATATAAATATGCAGTCCAGCTGCCTCAGTTTCTTCCCAGCAAGTGTGCCTGACCTTAATATTTTGAATTGAGAGGATTTGTGACTGCATTTATATTTATAAAACAATATGAGATTTCTTTATAATGTACTTTATATCCTTCAATATATCTCTCACCGTTTTCTATTCAAAGAGGAATTCCTAATATTTTCAAAATTTTTATTTTGTTAAATATTTTCCAATTACTTGTAAATTTTTTAACAAATTTTTTTTAAATTTGAGTTGCACATTCTCTCTGCCCCTTCTACCTCCTTGAGAAGGCAAGCAATTTGATTTCAATTATGCATCTGAGTTCATGAAAAACATGTTTCCATATTAGTCATGTTACAAAAGAAAACAAACAAAACAGAGCAATAAAGCTACTTTTTAAAAATTATGCTTTAGCTACATTCAGAGTTAGTTCATCATACCTCTCTCTGGAGGTAGATAGCATTTTTCATCATGGGTCTTTTGGAATTGTGTTGGATCATTCTTTTGGTCAGAGTAGGTAAATTCTTCACAATTGATGATCCTTACAATGCTATTGTGACTATGTACAATGTTCTCCTAGATCTGCTCACTTCCCTTTGTATTAGTTCATAGAAGTCTTCCCATCTTTTTCTGAAGCCATCCCCCTCATCATTTCTTACAGTACAATAGTATTCCATCACAAGCATATTCCATAATTTGTTCAACCATTCCCCAACAATGGGTGTTCCTTCAATTTCTAATTCTTTGTCACCACAGAAAGAACTGCTATAATTATTTTTATACAAATATGTTCTTTTCCATTTTCTTTCATCTCTTTGGGATACAGAACTAGTATAGCATTGTGGGGTCAAAGGGTATGTACAGTTTTATAACCTTTTGGTCATAGTTTCAAATTGTTCTCCAGAATGGTTGGAGTAGTTCACAATTCCACCAACAGTGCATGGTGTCCCAATTTGTCTACATTGCCTCCAGCATCTGTCATTTGCCTTTTCTGTCATGTTACCCAATCTTAGTTTGATACAGTAATCAGTAATGATTTAGAGCATTTTTTCCATGTGACTATTGATAACTTTGATTTCTTCTTCTGAAAATTGCCTATAAATATTCTTTGATAATTTATCAACTGAGGAATATCTCTTATTTCCATAAATTTGGCTAAGATCCCTTTATATTTGACAAATGAGGCCTTCATAAGAGAAATTTGCTGTAAAAAAAATTCCTGGTTTCCTGTTTTTCTTCTAATCTTGTCTGTATTAGTTTTGTTTCTGAAAAAAGCTTTTTAATTTCATGTAATCATAATTGTCCATTTTACACTCCATAATCCCCTCTATCTCTTGTTTGGTCATAAATGCTTCACTTATCCATAGATCTGACAGTACATTTTCTAATGCTCCCCTAATTTCCTTATGATATCATCCTTCATGTCTAAATTATTTATACATTTTGACTTTATACAATGTGAGGTGCTAGTCTAGGTCTAGATTTTGCTGATCTTCTTTCCAATTTTGCCAGAAATTTTTATCAAATATTGAGTTTTTACCCCCAAAGCTTGGATCATTGGGCTTATCAAGCATTAGATTACGATGGTCACTTACTACTGGGTATTGTATAACTAATCTATACCACTGTCCTTCACTCTCTTTGTTAGGCAGCACCAGATTGTGTTGATGATTACTGCTTTGTAATATACTTTGAAATCTGGCACTGCTAGGCTGCCTTGCTTAATGTCCTTTATTAATTCCTTTGATACTCTTGGCCTTTTGTTTTTCCAGATCAATTTTGTTGCTACTTTGCCTAGTTATATAAAATATTTCTTTTTAGGCAGTTTGATTCATTGGCAGTGAATAAATTATTTTAGGCAAAATTATCATTTTTATTACATTGACTTGATCTGCTTCCGAGAAATTAATATTTCTCCAGTTGTTTAGATTTGTATTTGTATGAAAAGTGTTTTGTAATTGTAATCATATGATTCCTGGATTTATCTCGGCAGGTAGACTCCCAAGTATTTTATATTGCTTGCAGTTATTTTAAATAGAATTTATCTTTCTTGCCGGACTTTGCTGGTAATATATAGAAATGTGGATAACTTATGTATGTCTATCTTATACCTTGCAACTTTGCTGAAGTTGTTAATTATTTCAACTAGTTCTTTTAGTTGATTCTCTAGGATTCTTTAAGTTTGCCATCATATCATCTGAAAAGAGTGATAGTTTGTTTCCTCATTGACTATTTTTCCTTGTAAATTTCTTTTTTTTGTCTTATTGATATACCTAATACAGTATTTCTAGTACATA